ATTTGACTTCTGATTAAGATTTTTGGATAATATACTAGCCTAAATACAACTATTTTTACTAAAAAACTTTCGAAACCAACCATTACAGAGCACATTCTCCTTCACAGGAAAGGGTTTTTTTACCAGGTTTAATCTGTGCTCTGTGTACAGCTGACTTTGTCTAATACTAATTTTATTTAATATTGTGCTATGTACATTTATTTCCATCCTTTTAATTTTTATCTAACCCTTTGACTTGGAAAGTATTGAAAAGTGACTATTTATGAATGGACTGTGACTTTAGAGTGTGGGGTGTGTGTTTGTTTTGAGTACACAAAGCTGGGCTTTGACCCACAGCATTTTGTTTCTCCTCAGTTAAACAAGGAAGGAGGATGGTGAAGAGCGGAGTATGACTCACAACTAAGAGTAGATAATTCTCCCCAGTATAATGAATGCCTTTGTCATAAAGTGCTTGCTCAGCAAACCTAACCTCTCCTATTCACTGGTTTAAGCAGAATCCAAAGATTCATTTTCCAATTTGCTACTTCTCGTTATATAACCTGAAATCTATGTCTCTGTTTGACTTATAATTTGAGTAAGAAATTGACAGTTTGCACTGCGACTGCTGCCAGCTAAGCTCTGAGAGTCACTCAGTATGCATCACCGAGAGCCAACAGTCATTATCCTTCCCCGTTCCTGATACTGCTGCCTTTGGTGGCAACAGCGTCAGGACTGTTCCCGAGTACCAGCCTCCTATATCACAGTGTGTCAAGTGCCTTATATTCAGATTTTCTTTTTACCTTGTTGCTAAAAGCAGACAATACAAAAGCAGTATTCAGTACACTTCAAGTTGGACACTGATATTTGATCCTGGGTCAGAAAAGAAAGAAAGGTGGAAGAAGAAATGCCTTTTCCACAGTAGTGCGAGTTCCACTTGCTTTGCTGAGCTTTCAGTTCTAAAGATTTGCAGGATTTTGTTAGCAAGGACAAGGGCACAAGAAGGTGCTAGAGAAGACTAAGTACTCTTGGGAGTGTTCCTTAGCGAGGTGGCAAAGGCAGCAGTCAAGGCCTTAGCAGGAATTAATGCTGGCTCAGCATCAATACCGCACATTGGCTCATTGGCAGGTGTTAATGTGCACAGAGAGAGTCTGCTAACAGCCCATGACCTGAAGGAACTCTCTAATCAGAAGGAAGTGAAGCAAGATTGATTCAAAGTAGGACAAAATCTCTTCTGTTTCAGAGATTTACAACATCTGTGAAGCTGAGAGGCTCAGCCCCGTTTCTGCTCAGCACACCTCTGAACCATACCCATCCAAGGGAGCAACTATTTGGAAATATCTGAAGGTCAGGTTCATGCACTTCCTTGTCAGCCCTTGTTTCTCTTGTGCACTACCTCTTCTGGTGGGTCTTGCATAGGAAGGCAAGATCTAGCACCAAACTGGATTAACTTGTAAGTGATGAGTGTCTACTGATCAGCAATATATTCAAGCAATACTTTATTGGGCTAAACAATTACAGAATAGCCTAGATAAAATATTCTCAAACTCTGGGGAAAGAATGATAAATAAAGAACTACTGTCCTGCCAGCTGGGAAAAAAAAAAAAAAGAACTACAAACTGACTGGGCAACAGAATCAAATAGGAGAAAGTGAGTCGTGAGAAACATTGAGAACTTGACATTTCGTTAATCTTAATAAACACAGGTACTTTGCAACACACACAATAATAAATATATCTAAATCAAACTGAATAGTGGATGTTGTTAAAATGGTGAGAACAATAGTTTTGGGTTAGTTTACCTTAGAGATAAATTCCCCACCATGATAGGCTAATTTTGGATATGGCAATGATGATCTAGGAAAAATTACGCAGGATGCAGAGTTGCAGTCATACAAACCTCTTGGAAGAGAAAGAATTTCAGATAATAAAAACCAGCCAAATTTGACTTAACATTTTTTGTCCTTGAAAAAGATCTGTTTTACCCGACAAGGAAAATCGTGTATAATTGAACATGATAACACTTACATTTGGATCCCTGATAAATAGCTTCAACTGACATTTAGGCATCAAGTAAAACAAGTCAGACAGCCATGGCTGTATACCATGGCAAGAGAATATTTAAACTTCAAATGTAGAAATGCCTCTTACTGGTAGAAGAACAAGGATGTGGAAAAATACGGGCAGGATATTAACTAATTAAACTAGAATTGTCAGTATTGTGAGGACAATTGCATGAGCCTTTTTAAAAGAGCTTATTGCTAGGAAAGTAGGTGTATTGCTCTTCCAAGTTTTCTGTAACATGAGTGGAAGTGATTGTTATAAACTTCAAATGTAGAAATGCCTCTTACTGGTAGAAGAACAAGGATGTGGAAAAATACGGGCAGGATATTAACTAATTAAACTAGAATTGTCAGTATTGTGAGGACAATTGCATGAGCCTTTTTAAAAGAGCTTATTGCTAGGAAAGTAGGTGTATTGCTCTTCCAAGTTTTCTGTAACATGAGTGGAAGTGATTGTTACCA